TCGGGCACCTTCCAGTCCATCTTGCGCCCCTTCTCGTAGAGGCCCTTGAGCACCTTGCGGAAATCCTCGGGCTCGGCGCCCTGGGGGCTCAGCTCCAGGTACTTGCGATAGAGCTGCAGCGCCGTGCGCGCGTCCTCGATGCTGTCGTGGGTCTCCCCCTGGATCTTCAGGTCTGCGGGGAGAGCTCCGGTCAGGGAGGGGGCTGGCGGGGACCCTGGGGGGAAACGGCCCCCACTCCTTCCCCTCCCACATGCGGGGGTTTGGCCACTGACCCAGGAAGTACCAGGCGAGGAAGCGCAGGGAAATCATCCTCTTCCTCGGGATGTGGAACAGGTAGACTGTGTCGATCACCTGGTCCTTGGGCACCTGGAAAGCAGAGAGGGTCCTGCTGCCAGCGCAGGGGGACGCGGCAGGGGGGAGCCCCAGCACTGCCCCAGCCTCCCAGCCCCCCCCGCCAAGACCCCCGCGCCCGGCCAAGGGAGGGGGCTCAGTGCTGTCACCATCAGGTTGATGACACGGAAGTCCTTCTGCAGGCCGTGGCCCACGAACTTGACTCCCACGTCAATGAGGAAGCGCAGCTTCAGGTAGGTGGATTTGAGAGTGGTGAGGTGCTTGGAGGAGATCTTGGCATCCAGGTCTCCCGGTTTGATCCCCGAGTACTGGGTCAGGTAATCCACCACCTGCGGAGACCAGGGCCTGTGGGGGTCTGCCCCCTCCCCAATTCCCCTGACAGCAGCCGGGGGAGGGTGCTGTCATTATTGTGGGTGCCCCTCCATGGAGGGGGTCCACGTCCTCCCTGCGGGGCTGGGGAGCCGCACGAGGCCAGGCAGGAGCCCCATACCTGCTCCTGGGTGGAGATGTAGTCATCAATGAAGGGGACACCCTCATTAGGGCCCTGCCCGCGCACGCACGTGATCCTGGCCACTGACATCTGGCTGGGCTTGATGGTGGATTTGGTACCGTCGCTGCGCAGCTCAGCCTCCTCCTGCAAGGGGCGAGAGGAGAGCTCGGTGACCAACAGCTCCCACAGTCCCCGCAGAGACCGGGCGCACCCAGAGGGGCTGCCCCTGCACCCCTGCGCGCTGTCCCCGGAGGCCTGACCTCATTCAGCGTGACAAACTCAGCATCCAGCCCCACCAGGTCACCCGCCTGCGGCATCTCGCTCAACATGAGGGGGATGAAGGTGGCATGGCACTTGCGCTGCTTGCGAGCCAGGGAAGCCTCTGCCAGCAGCACACTGGCTTCGATGGGGTTCTTGACTGCAGGAAAAGGGGAAGGGAGATGAGCCGCGAGCCGGCGTCGCTGGCCACACGGCCACTTCCACCCCAGACACTCACTGACGAGGTTGTATTTGGCGTTGAGGTTCCTCCGGGCGTAGTAGAGGATAGCCGGCACCTTCCAGCTCATGTCGAACTGTACCGCCTCGCACTGCAGGGGAGGGGGGGGGACGACAGTGCAGGGGCAGCCCAGCACGGGGTGGGGTGCTCCTGCGTGCAGCAGGAAACCCCCCTCCACGGGGTCGCCACAGCCACGGTCACGCCTTGAGGCACGGCCGGTGGCACCACCCCAAGCGCTCACCTTATCCACAGGCTCGATGAGGAAGTCGTTGAAGAGGTACCACTGCTGGTGCGTGACTCCCTGCGGGGAGAGGCACAGGCACTGCCTTGGGGGCCCCCCCAGCCAAAAGCAATGACTCCTCTACCCAGTTACCAGGGAAAAAAATGCCATGTGGGAACTCCCGCCCTTCCTGGGACACTGTGGGGAAATCCCTGCTGGCCCGGGTGGTGATGATGCGTACGTGAAGCACTCGGGCTGGACAAGCACAGTCTCTGCCCAACTCCTAACCAAAACTCCACGGAGATGCAACAGATAAGAGACAGGGATGCAGCCTTGACACACTCTGGGAACTCCTGGCTTGGGCATCTCCACCAGACAACAGGACTGCCCAGACCAGGCCCCTTCCTCGGGAAGGGAGATGATGTCCCAGCCCTTACCTGGAAGCACAAGAAGCAGCTGGCAACATGCCCATGACCCAGGAGGAACCAGCCTGAGTAAGTGTGGGAGAGCGCTTCTTCAGCCCTGCCCTCCCCGCAAGGTGCCCGGTGGCACTCGGCTGTTTGGGGCTGCCTGACCCGTTCAGCCAAACACTCAGCGCTTGACCAAGAGACCCAGGAATGGGTCTGCCAAACAGCCCGACCCCCGAGCGAGCCGTGGGCAAGAGCGCCTCGGCAAGGCAGGACTCCCGGGAGCGGGGCCGCTCTCGGGCGCCTGGGCTGTGAGTGGGAGAGCACCCATCCCCGCAGGGCTCCTCACCTCCTTCCTTTGGTGGTAGGTCTCTCCCACTTTGATGTGCCCCACCAGGCTGCCTCCTGTGCGGGAATCCAGGATGTGGACGACAGTGGCCATTAGGTCGTAGACATAGACCGAGTCGGGGTCATCCGTGGGGCTCAACTGCAAGAGGAACCGGCCCCCAGGGAAATGTCTGAGCTCCGACTGTCTGCGAGGCAGCTCCCAGGCCTCCAACCCAAACGCCAGAGCTCAGACATGCCGTCTCACCACCAAGCCCAGAGGTTTCCATGCTCACCGAGGTGTCTCCAAGACAGCCTCGTTATCTCTTGCCCACACACACACAGCAGAAAGCGGTTCTGAAGCAGTTCTGCTCCCACAGCCCCACGTGCACACAACCACGCAGCCCCAGAGGGATCTCATCAGCCTCTACCTCATCGTTCTCACTCCAGTTGCAGACATCTAGCTCCTTGCTCTTGGTCAGCCGCATCTTGATGGCGTGGGGGATCCAAATGTTCTTCAGTTCCTCCACAGAAGGATACGAATGCCCCGTGTCGGGGTTCCCCAGCTCCTTCCTGCATGGAGAATCATGGAACGCTGAGTCAGAGGGATTCACGAAACGTCATCCAGGACTTCTCTGGGGCAGGATCCCCACTGCCCCACCCAC